AAAGGATAAGGTAAGAAAATAACTATCATGATGGTCAGGACTTTGGACAGATAGATAAGGACCAAGGAGTTTTAGATTCAGTATGTGCTGTATGATGTAATGCTTCTTTGCCACCCCCTTCAATAAAATGTTCAACAAAAAACTACGTTGCCATGAAATGCTTTCAGTGTTGCATTTGGGTAACACAATTTGAATGTGACACTCTACTGAGACTGGGAAAAACAAAATCAAGTTTCTATTTGGAATACCTAGGACACTGGTCCAAGAAAACAATCCTAGATATTAAGGAAATATGCATAAAATGTTAACGAAATTGTTATTTATGATAATGAAAAATATGAAAATTTCCAACGTCCAATAAAAATAGAACACAATCATAAAGGATGTATCTTTACATAATGAAGTGTTGCACAGACAATTAAAAAGGCTGGTTATAAAGATTTTATAATAACATAAAAATGGTTATAATAGAACATTAAAAGGGGAGAAGGCAGAATTATACAAATTCACATGCAGTATGTTTAGGCTACATACCAAAGACCATATGCATACAAAAAGAGATTGGGAAAAGCAAGAACAATAAAAGATTGGAAAGGAAAGATTGCAGTGAAAGTCCGTATCTTCCCTTCTCCTAGGACCTCCCATCTATACACACCAGGAGGGACACATTTTGCTTCTCCACCCTTCCTACCCTCCCTCTTGACCTTTCTGAGAGAGAAGAGAAGCTGCTGGCACAGGCGTCACTAGAAACCTACAACGAGTAAGCCAACCTTAATCGAAGGACAACAGGACACCGAGCCCAACTTGACTGTCCCTACATACCAGCCACCCTTCAGCTTGCAACTAGGCGTCACAACAGCTCAAAAGAGTCATCCACAAGGAACCCTGTCTTTGTGCCCCCTGAAGTGGACTGATCCAGAACTTGTTCTACACCTATTGACTTCTCTTTTTTAATTAATGGCTAGTCTATTTTTTTTAATCTAATGGCTAGCCTATTTTGCAACCCAAATACTCAAGAAAAAGCAGAGGGGGTATAACTCAGTGGTAGAGCATTTGACTGCAAATACCCAAGAAAAGGGGTAAGAGTTTAAGTTCCTGATACCTTAGGGTGTATTACTTTATCAGAACACTCCTTTAGTGATGGCAAGGAAGAGGAACAAATGGGCCCTGATCTTTAAGGAGGGAGAATAATTAAGAAGTTCGTAAAGAAGAGACACTACAGACATTCTTTCTCTCTTCAATGATACTGCACAAGCCATCAGGATACTGTACAAGCAAATGCCATCAGAGATCAGAGGCACTTAGAGGCCAATCCAGAGAACTCAGTAAGGCCCAGGATGCCCATGCCCTCATTGAAAAAGATGCCAGAAGACAGCGAACATCTAGGGAGGGTGAGGGGCCACAGAAGCAAAGCTGTGAACCATAACAAGTATTCACATTGGATGTGTAACGAAAATCATCTTTCCCCTGCAGGATGTGCCTGCCTATTAAATACCTCCCAATGGAAGAGTGGAAATACTGTTCATTTGCAGCCCAGTAGGATATTAAAACAAAACAAACAAAAGACCAAAAAATAACAACCACAAAAAACCAACCTCTTCCCTATGATAGCTCTGCCCAAGCGAAGACTAGAGCAAGATTATGTTATGATACTTATCCTCTTTCATGCTCTCCCTGCAAGGTAAAATTGCTAAAGCAGTTGGAGTGGTGCACAGGAGCATAAAACAGGTCGGTAATCTGCCTGTTAACCAGGTATCAAATGAGTGAAAGGGTCACATATAGAAGAGTTTGCATGGCAGTCTGATTCTTGGGGCATGAGTTTGGTGGCCAAGTCATTCCACCATGAAAGATTCCTAGGTGACCTCTCTTGATGGCATTGGAACATCTGGAATTCCTAAGGAAAATTGTATCTTCAGGTAAAGATTTTTATTATTGATGCTAATGAATATTACGCCCCATGCCCTGCCTAACCCGCAAACACTTCTGGGGCACCAAGGAGGAAATGGATAATAATGACAGCACCTTCCAACTCCCAATGCATTTCACAGCCATTACAACGATCATCACTGTAGATGAGAGAGAACAGATGAAGTATGAGGTTGATTCTTCTTCTACACCCTTGGCAGAAACCACTACTGAATCACAATGTTTTTCCTCATAGGTCTCCCCGAGGTTGCTACTTTCCACCAGCTGAAGGTGGCACAGGAGAAGAAACCTAGTACTTGTGAAGGATCTATCCCTAGGCGCTGGAATATCTCTAAATGATAGATCACAGTATTTGGACAATATTTTGTTTGGATTTCATGTTCACTCTACATACTAGAAGATAAAGGCATTTCATGTCAATGTCTTGTTTTTGGCATGGCTGCTCTACCCGCCTCATGTCCCTACCATCCCCAGCACCACTTCACCCTGCCTCATCCCTCCCAAAGGAGTAGATTTAGGGCTTTTTGTTGTTGTTTTTTGTTGTTGTTGTTTTTTCCACATCAGAAGAATTATGACTCAAGAAAGAGTAGGACAATAAAGTTAGGTTGAGATGTGGATTCTGGGCAGTAAATTAGACCCATTCAATTGTCATCAGATGCCCATGGGCAAACAAACTCACCACGCATCGGATTCAAATTTGCATCCCAGAAAACTGACAAATCACTTAGGAGTCGTGTTCTTCAGAATCACTCATAAACATAGGACTTAAAGACTTGTAATTTACAAGTTATAAATCTGCAATGGAGAAATGAAATTGCTAAGTGTCCAGTTCTGAAAGGGTTATATCTCGCCCTTCCAATAACCTTATGAAACTGACAAGAATACTGTTCCCATCCCATAGACGAGGAAACCAGAGCTTGAAGAGGCTCTGTCTCAGCCAAGGCTGTGCTCTGCACCCCGAGAAAGGCACACTCCGTCTTTTCTCAAGGAGGGGTTGAGTCAGTATTTCTACCCCTAACCCATACAAGCCATGTCTCTTCAGCATAAGTGGTTTAGAGCTTTCGATGGCCATGGATTCTGTCACTGGGGAAAAAGGTCTGTGTACAATGAGCTTTTCCTTTGCAACTCCTATGACACCTAAAAGAATAATCATGGCAATTATACATCAGAAACTGAGCAGTGATAATTACAAAAAGGGAGATTTCAGCTACCACGTGGCTGGCCAGCACAGGCAGTAATTTTCATATTTTCCCATGGGGACCATATTTGAAAGAAGCACAGAGTGGAGAAGAGATGAAATTATCAGGATCTGGGGATTTATTCTTTCTGCTACACCAAGGAAGGGAGAAGGGCAGACAGCAGCTGGAACATTCTCTTGTTGCTCTTTGTGAAACAGAGGAAAACACTGTCCTTCATCCCCTTAATTTAATTTCCTTCAGAAACAATGACAAGGCTTATCCAGTCCATTGTACCTTCCTTCTCCATCAGCTTCACTTCCTAGTTGGCCAACTGCCTTACCATCTCAAGAGCTTGCTCCAGAAATAGCGAAGAGCTTTTTTTTTTCTGAGGAAATTCTGAGTGATGGCACACTGAGAAATTAGTCCATCTCAGCTGAGCAAAAGGCTGTAGTTAGATAGCTGGAACATCAGAAAGATACAAATTTCCTTTTTCTGACTTAATCTGTCACAAAATCTTAATAATTCTAAATACAGGCCAAATAATCATTATCATAATAGTTATGGACCAAATAATAGTTGGCCTGAAGAGGAAAAAAATACTTGGAAATAGTCCAGGTATTGAATCAAAGGCACCACTCCCAAAGCCCTTTTCTTTCCTAGTACTCTGTGTATAATAGGACATGGTTGATTTTCACAGTGTGTTTCAGCGATCAGCATTTTAATTCTGGACATAGTTTTGTAGATGCAGAGGGGACTGGGTGAAACCATTGCTAACAAAGATGCTGAAATGAATGTATATACATACAAGGATGTATAGATGGACCTCATCCCCCATACACACACACACACCCCCTTCTCCTACCATGTGAAAGGCATAAAGGGTCATCTCATGACTTTTTAAGGGAACAAAACCAAAGTATCTAAGATGAAACATGGAATACATACTACTTTCAAACACTGCTATTTTTTTTCTGTTTTTCATTAAGCATGCCATTTAGCATGTTATACACTTTGGTACGTGCTTCTCACATACATCCCTTCATGTATTTGGCCATCACTTCTGCTCAAATGAAAGCAAGATACAAGTAAGACACATTTGCACATTCTGGCAAGGAAGAGTAAAAGGTAAAATTACACCCAAGGTAACAAGAGTGTGCATGTAAAGAATTACCAATTAATAACGACACTTTCTGATTGGAGGAAGGGCTAATTTTCCATCTGAAATGTGTATTCACTCTTCTAAAAGCTTTTTCAACATGTGCTCCACAGAAGTTGTTCTGAAGGATCAATCAGGTGTGACATGAGACAGGGATTCAGGAGTGAAATGAGTTTGGGGCTCAGTGACTTAATGCCTGGCAGCTTCCTTCACCCTAGTCATCTCTTGAGTCTTTAATATCCTCATGTGAATCCTGAGTCTCCAGGAGGTGAGAGCTGGATAGTCATTATCTAAGATTATCTGACCAGAGAAGCATTGTGTGGAACTAGTATTCTTCGGAGTACATTCTAGGAAGTACTGTTTTTGAGAATAGGTTCATAAAATATCTACTTTTCCCCAAAAGAAGGGAGGTTTGCACACAGCTAAGAGTACCTGGTCATGACCTTCTCATAGAGCCCTCTAGCCCAGTGCTTCCCACTTTAATGTGCACATGAAATCACCAGGGATCACGTTACATGCAGAGTCTTACTCAGTAAGTCTTAAGGGGGCCTGAGATTCTGAATTTCTGACAAGTTCCCAGGTGATGCTGAAGCTGTTGGCCCATGAACCCAAATTTGCATAGCCAAGGGCGGGGACACATGTGACTTCAAGGGCTGAAGGTGTCCAGGGATTGCCCAGAGTGCCATGCTGTGTGATAATTCCTTATCCAAGAGGGTGGTGAGACGGCGGATGGAGCTTACCAGTAAAACCTGTTGGGGGTGATGCGTTCATGCATGAGTTGCCACCGTCTCCCAAAGTCCATGGAGCTGTAGAGCTGCAAAACAACAAAGCAAGGAGAGCATAAGCATCACGGGGCCACTGTTCAACAGCAATGCGCATGTCAACCCCCTGGAGATGAACATTCCAACCCACCAAGTACCTGACGCAGGCATCCTTGTTACCTAGATAAAAACGTGAATTTGACCATGCTATGCTTATCACAGCATCCTCTACATCATCATCCATCTACCTGCATCAATATACATCCAACTGACCAATGTTTTTGAGCTGCAAGTCAACCCATTTCTGGTGTCATCTATGTCTCTCCTTTAGGGGCAAAGCCTTAGGTAAAATTGTATCTTCCCTTTTTCTTCAAATTCCCTGAAGTCTTTAGCTATATCTAAAACAATTCAGCAAAATTTATTTTAAAATTATTTATTCAACGACTCCTCCATGAAAGGCCCTCTGGAGGATATGAAGCTAAGGAAGAGGTAGATTTTGTGCTCAGAGGGAAAATAAGGCACATATGTAAAGATGCATATCAGCTGATGGTTGAGCCAATATTATAAACAAAATATTATGCTTTTTTTACAAATGTCAACACAGAGCAAGGCAGAAGGAGGTGGCCCTCAAGTTTATAGATACAGGGTCAAGTGAAGTTATCCCTAGAATCTCATCCTCAGTAGCTGTTCACCAACAGGGACCTGCTCTGCCACATGCAGGTAACGGTCCCATCTGTAAGTTTTGAGTACTTAAGCTTACAACACAAACAAATATTTTTGTATGAACTTCTGGTAACCTCAAAAAAGCGTTGCGGGGTTTGGATAACTTTGGTCTCATTTCAATTTAATTCAGCCAATGTTCACCATGAACTACATTTGTGAGTCTCTTCTTTGTTCAGTAAATAACAGATGTGCATGTGTGAGTGTGTGCATGTGTGTGTAACTTAAAATAGCCTATAAGGTAGTTAAGGAGATATATTAGCATTTGCGATTTATAGATGAAGATACTGACGCTTGGTTCTACAAAGTGACTACTGGAACCATATGGAAAACCAGATGTCAATCCTGATTTTTACACTACATCACCCCAACTCTCACAGTGTTCATGCAAACAGGGCCCCCACTCCACGAGTAATTACAAACTACTATGTGCCCAACTCTGCACATAGGGGAAAAGGCAAAACTCCTCCCCCATTGCTCTTGGTCTCTTTCTTTACTCAACAACTTAGCGAACAAAACATCGCTAGCTCTACACCATGAGCCACACGGAACTGCATTCACTTCCTCAGGAAGCAAAATGGGTAACCACTCCCCAGTCCTCAGACTCACAGGGACACCACGTCACAGGGCAAGATGAAGCAAAGGCTAAGGCCTAGAAGGTGAGAGACGGGAAAGATAACCTGTGGCAAAACTGGAACAACGAGGCTTTCTGGAGAGAGAGATCTTGAGCCAGGCCTTCGGAAATAGGTGATGTGGACAAGAAAGAAGGTGGACAGAGATTTCACTGGGTGGAAGAGACAATGAGACGAAAGGTGTCAGTGTGGGCAAGCCCTTGAGCTTGGCTTGTGAGGGAGCTTCTAAGAGACATGAGGGATGCAATGATGGTTGCTGGCCAGAAGCAGATGGAGGTTGTCTATCGGCCTATCTCTCTGTCTCCCTATCCATCCATCCATCTACCTATGTGTGGATGTTTTTATATCTGTATGTGTATTTACATTGGAGAGGGGCTTGGGAGGATGGAGGGGGTTTGTGAGGACCAGACCATCACATTGGGAAAAACATATCCTCATAATTTATTGCAAGGACTGAGTATTCCATGCAGTGTTTTAAGAAACTGATCACCCTCTTTCCTGTGGCAGGTGTCTGACAGACATCTGCTCAGTCTTAAGACAGATGTTTCCAATAAAATATAGAAGAGACTGTGGTTGGAGCTTTCTGTAACCCAAAGATATCAATGATTCTCCATCAGCCCTGGCTCCAATCAGAGCAAAGAGAGCCCCAAATTCCTTCAAATAAAACCCACCATGATTGGGCCTTCCTCTGCTTCAAACTCTAGAAACAGGTCAGGGAAAATCCCTGAGAGTTGCCCTGACACTGCTGGAGTCTCAGTCCCCCAGGGAAGTCATCAGACCTTCCCTCACGGAAGATCTCGGGCATGCCACCCACCAGGACTTCCGCTCGACACACCCTCAGGAGGAGCATGGCTCCTCTCGTCTCGTGTTCTTCCCAACAGAAAGAACCAGAGCTCAGATGCTGGTCTCCTTGTCCAAGCCTTTTCCACTTCCTGCCTCCCCTGTCTCTGGTTTTGCCTTTTCAGCTCTTCAGTTTGACTGATGGGAGAAAAATTAAATTGAATTCTCTGCCTGGAGGCTGATTCAGATGAACAGAAAGAGCAGGCTCCTATTCATTAAGGGACTTGGGCTAGCCGCCTTGTCTCTCAATCTACAGTAAATTGCTGAGTCGGAAGTGAATTTTCTTCTTCCACAAGATGTATCTTTGCAGCCTCTCCATTCATTCATTCATTCATTCATTCACTAAAAGTGTACCAAGCAACCACTATGCTTCAAGCACTGAACAGAGTGCAGGGATTACAAAGGTTAAAAATACCATGAAGAGTAGAAGACGGAAATTCAGACAATTGCATTGCCATGCAATACATGTCATAATTAGTACTAATTATCTCTGCAATGGTAAGATTGTGGGCAATTGATATTTCCTCTTTTTTGGGTTATCAGGACTTTTAAAAATCATTGTGAACATGTATTACCTTACTAATTTACAAAATGAAAGCTCTGACACTGAAATAGAAATAAAGCATACAGACAAGCATCAGCAGAGTGTTAGAAGATTGTTTAATGATATGAAAATGCTCATATATTACTTATTTTAAAATATGTTATAAAACAAGTATATAATGATGTTAATTTTTTTAAAGCATTGCACAACTTGAAATACGTAAGAAAGGAACAAGCCAAAATATTCGCAGTAGTTATCTCTGAATTGTGGGATGACGGGTACTTTATAAACTTTTTAACACTTCGCATCATTTCCAGATTTCTTTACAATACATATATATTATATTTCAATAGTAAGATAAGCCTATGCTTTATTCTATTTATATTTTATAATAATAATTCTATATTTATAATGTACACATTATATTTATCTATCTTTTAAAAAACTAAGAATTAAAAATCCAATTTTTTTTTCATTAGGGAACTGGAATTAGACACAGCCATATGGGATTTTCTACAACATGGTATTTCACAGAGGTTATAATGGATAATGGTGAATCCTTCCTTGGACATTAAGAAATGTGTTAACTCATATAAACTCAGTGTTTCTACAGTTCTGCACGGCTTCAACCCAAAGTGTTCTATGCAACATTAAAATAAAATGTATTTTCCAAATAATAAACATTTTAAAAACATTTCTTGTTTATGCAAAGCTACATACATGAGACCCTGTTCTCCTCCACATCCTGCCTTATGATGTCCCCTCCTGCAAGGACATCATCCTGGATTTTTACCAGAGAACCATCTTTATCCTTTCCCACTACATGTCGTGGTCTCATCTCTCTCAACAAGCACATAGACAGTGGCGACACATACACACAGAGCCCTAAATGAATCATCGGAACAGCTGGAAATATGAAAGAGCACGCTCTTTTCCTTATTGATTCAGTTATTAGCTCCCTAATTACATCAGCCTGCCAGGGGAAAGCATCTGATAGCTGAAGAGCTGAAGAGGCAATTTAATCAATGTAATATTCTACAGGAAAACCAAGTTGCATCCGGAGAGCTGAAGTTCAAAGAATAACATGATCGCATCAGGAGGTTATGGGTTGAATTATACCCCATCCCCCCCAAAAGATATGTTGAAGTCCTAACCCCTACTGTCTCCGAATGTGACCTTATTTGGAAGCGAGGTCTTTGCAGATGTAATCAAGTTAAAATGGGGCCAGGGTGGGCCCTCATCCAATATGACCGATAACCTCAATAAGGAGAAATTTGGTCACACAGATAGACAGGCACAGGGGGATGACAACGTGAAGACCCCCCAGAGAAAAGGCCATGCTAAGACAGAGAGCTGGAGTGATGCACCTACAAGCCAAGGGATGCCAAAGACTGCTGACCAGTCACCAACAGCTAGGAAGAAGCAAAGCCTCCCCACAGGTGTCAGAGGGAGCATGGTCCTGCTAACACCTCGGTTTTGAACTTCTGGCCTCCAGAATTGTGAAACAACAGATTTCTATTGTTCCAAGTCATCCGGTCAGTGGTACTTTGTTGTAGCAACCCTAGAAAACTCATGCAGGCATCTTAGACCGGCTACCAAGAGCAACAATGACAGAGCTTGCTACATTTCTCCACTGTTTTCTTTCTCCATTTCTAGGCATTGAGTTGTAAAGCCAGAAGTCTGACTTACACCCAGACTGTAGAATCTGTGGTTGAAAGCCAAACTCTCATTTGCCTATATTTCTCTGTCCCATGCATTGCCACCACATCCCTAAAGATATTTTCCAAGAATAAATGTGACTTCATAATGACCATATGGCCATAACCAGACATAATCAGGAGAGGCAACAAAATACACATTTTATAGAGGTGTTTGGTGTTCCAGCCAGACTCCTTAGAGCCCGCAGATCTCCCATGAAGAGGGAAGGATGGTTTGGAATACATTTATGTAAAAGCTCTTCCCTGTGGGCCAATGCAAACCTAGTGTGTAACTGTCCTGATTTTTCTTCTCAAAACCTACACGGTTTCAGTAGCATTCTGCAGAGTAGCCATGGCGGTCTTTGTCTTTCAAATAAACTGAGGCTGCTTTCTGCTTAAAATAAGAAGCTCTCTGTACCTATTTCTGTGGTAGCCCTAGAGTGAGTGGGAGGGCTTGGCTGGTCTATGTAGGGTGAATCTCCCAGGTTGTGGCAATATTTGTGGCAGGCAGGAGAGAAACCAGGGTCACACAGACACAGAGTCCTTTCCAACACTTGCCTCTGGTTCCTTTCTCAGCCATTCTCCAGAGAACTCCTTTCTGTTTTTTTAAATTGAATTAT